CTTCTGTATCTCCTCCTCCCTTCTATCAGGCAGACGCCACACAGGCTAGCAATAGAAAGGCAAGTTCACTAAATTCAAAACCATTGCCAAGAGGCTCTGCCAGCATCACAGCAAAGATGTTGAGTCATTTGTACCCTTCTGCTCATAAGCCTCTACAGTTACCCACACCCATCCATGTGACAATCCAGGAAGCTTTTCACTGCCACTGCTGCCTTGGCTGAAGAGCTCTGACTGCACGCAACTGCACTGCCTCCAACAGAGCCAGGGTTTAGGATTTGAATCTGTCCTTGGGGAACAACTGGTAGCAGTTGCAAAGGAAGGACGAGGGGTCTCTGATTCAGCTGGAGTTGCTCCATAAAGGGTAGGCAGGTGTGCTCTGCTAGACCACAGAGGGACTCGCCCTTCTGGGGTCCCAGAGACTTGATCTATTTCACACATGTAGTAGGGCTCACTAGGTCACCCACACCAGTTCCCCTGTCAGCAGAGTTGTGTAGGGCAGCATCACTCCCCTTTAAACTCTCCCACCACCTCAAGTGGAGCAAAGCTGGGCCAGTGGCCATCCTCTGATAAGCAAAGCTCTCTTATGGGGTGTTGCACCCCTCCGTTCCTCCTGCAGATGCCCAGGAACAAGATGAAGCGGGAAGCCTGGAAACCTAAGGTAGAAGCGGTCACTCAAGCACTTCTGCTCATCCAGACACAGGTATCATTGAGGCCTGAAATCTCAGAGCTTGGGTTGGTGCTGACATATTTTTTTACCATTGTGTTGCCATTCGTATATCCCGCTGTACACCGTGGCTTGCCATCAGATGGGAAACTGCGAGCCTTTCAATTTGCTACGTGGGTTAAGTTTCTAAGCAGGTTACTTATTTGGGGTTGTTTTAAATGAGCTCATTCTCACTTCTACACAGGCTACTGTAGGCCTTGACAAGAGTTTGGCTTTCCTGTTGCTTTTGGGGCTAAACCCAACAAATGCCAGGCCGAAGACATATCTGATTGGTAATGAGCGACCATAGGCAGAACAAACACCCTTGAGGTACTGCCTCCACACAGGATGACTTTTTTTCCCCCGCAGAGTTCAATTTGTTGCCTCTCCCTTTAAAGCTCACTCTTGCCTCCACTCAGAAGCAGCTACACTGAACCAGGCTAAGGTGCAGGAGTAAGGCAAGGAAGTGGGGGGGCCAGCCACTGTCTTCCCCCAGTGGGCGGCTGTCCCAGCCCGCTGTCAGCGTAGTTCATCCCAGTCCTGTGGCCCCAAACACGAGTGGGCAGCTCCTGAGCAAAAGGGGGCTACGGCACTTAGACCGTCCCTCTCTCCCAGCCCCAACGGCCGAGTCACGCTGCCGTGAGGCATCAATTCACAGCGGCGAGCCTGCGGAAAGCCGTGAGGCGGCGCGGCCGCCCCTGGCGGCGGGCCAGGGTGGAGCGGAGTTTCACTTTCTGTCCCTGGGCTCTGTGGAGCGGGAAATGGAAACTAAACGGCGAAGTGAGCGCTGCTGCCCTCTGACGCTGCCGGCTAGAAAAAAGGCGAGACCGCCCCCACCACGCCCAC